TCCTTGGGGTTCTGACAGAGCACTGGCCTGGGTCCAAGCCTTATGAGGGAAGAATAGGACCAGTCTTAGGACCCTCTCGCTTGTCCTAAGAGGGTGGGAGAATGCGGTGACTAGATAAGGTTGACAGGCACTGTCAAAGATAACACTGCGGTTTAAAAATATTCGAGTGTGGGTAAACAGGAGCTGAGTGGGCAAGGGCTTTGGAAGGGCAAGCAGAACATTCCAGATTGTATGGGTGGGACACTTGGCAGAGAACTGAGCAAGAAGAAGGGGCCTTTGTCTCATAGACAAATGACAAAGCAAGGCATTGGGGTCAAAGAGGCAGCAGAAGCCATGCCCAGACCCATCTTGTGATTGGTTCCCTGGGTGATCTTTCCTTATAAATAAAGTTTGGAATTGATGACTGATAGGCATGCCTTGGGTACCACTGTGGTATATTTAGCAGAAAAGAGGAGGATAAAATAGCTGTATAGAAAGCAAGTCTACAAAATGACGATACTGTACCAGTGTAATCAACATGCCTGTCACCTTTTCTCCCACCTCCCCCTTCCCTCATCTTGCTATTTCTAGATGCGCCTGGAGAAGGACAGGTTCTCTGTCAACCTGGATGTGAAGCACTTCTCCCCAGAGGAGCTCAAGGTCAAAGTGTTGGGTGATGTGATTGAGGTGCACGGCAAACATGAAGAGCGCCAGGTATGTAGCCTGCTTTTCCTTCTGCTCATTCATTCAGTGCATGTTGTCTACTGAATGATGCCAGACACTGCCATCAGCTTTTGAGGCTGGCGACATTCCTGTCCCAAAAAAATGAGCCTCTGAATCAGGGATAGCAAATCAATGGCTAGAAACTAAATTAGGGACTGAGCTGTTATTATTATTGCTGTTGTTGGCCAAAGCAGGGACCATGATTGTTTGTTTTGATTTGATTGGCTTAGATGGGATAAATTGGATGTTTGCTCCCCATTTAAGCCAGTGATTCTCAACCTTGGCCACATTAGAATCACTAGGAGAATGTTCACAAATCCAAATTCTCAGCTATGCCCTGAACGATTAAATAAAAATTTTTAGAGATAGGATGTAGGCAATACCATTTTTTTTTTTTTCACTTCTAAAGACGATTGTAATCTACAGTCAAGCTGAAGGGCACTCATCTAAGTAGTTTTGTCAGACAACAAGTTGCTTTATGTAATTACATTAGCTACATATACCCTGAAGGCACTTGAATCCATAACTTTTCTTTTAGATGGTCCACTTCTCTTCAGGCTATCTTAATGCTACACTACTTGGTTTTCTGATGTTTCAAAGTTGTACTTGGTTCCCAATCTCTCGTAGTCCATGTGGAAATCAGTTAAATTGAGAGCCTTTTTGGAAAAATGCTGGAGATTGGGCAGGCATACAGGTCAGGGTCAGTTACTTTTACGAAATTCTGATGAATGGAACATATTCTCATGTCTTTGAACAGGTTTAATATCATTTCTCAACAATTAGTGATAATCCAAGGCTTCTGCATCAACTAATACAATTTAGCTTAATACAATCAGGTTGTTTCAGTTTTGCTCATATGACTTAAGTTTGGGTCACAGTCTCCCTGAATGGATGAAGTCACTTTTTTTTTCCCCTTAGGAGCAATCTTATTAGTCTGGAACATTCTGGGAATTGTTGAAGGGTCAGGACAATTTCTGGGCTCCTTCAGGGACTCAGTTGCCAGGACAAGATTCCAAATCCTATAGGCTCAGCCAAACTTTTGAAAAATATCCTTACACATCTATGCTTCAGGGTTAAAGTTCTGGTCTGTTTCAGACTCCTCACACTCTTATGGGTAGAAGTTACCACCTGGGCAACTTCATCTTTGCCCAAAACCTGAAATGAACTGCCCTTTATTTTTTCTCATGTTGTCAGTGGCCTTTAGACACACGTAAGGGTAATGGGGATGTCGGAGTTATAAGCAAGTGGGATTATTTCTTGTTCTTATATCTCTGCCTCTTTCCTCTTTTCTTGGATTAGGATGAACATGGTTTCATCTCCAGGGAGTTCCACAGGAAATACCGGATCCCAGCTGATGTGGACCCTCTCACCATTACTTCATCCCTGTCATCTGATGGGGTCCTCACTGTGAATGGACCAAGGAAGCAAGCCCCTGGCCCAGAGCGCACCATTCCCATAACCCGTGAAGAGAAGCCTGCTGTCACTGCAGCCCCCAAGAAGTAGATGCCCTTTCTCTAACTGCATTTTTTTAAAAAGAGAAAAGTTCCCCATCAGTGAATGAAAATCTTGTGACTAGTGCTGAAGCTTATTAATGCTAAGGGCAGGCCCAAATTATTAAGCTAATAAAATAATGTTCAGCAACAGATAACTGTCTTGTGTTTGAATATTCAGGATGCTTTTAAATAAATGTACAAGCAGATCCACTTAATCATCACATCATCACATCATGATTTAGAATGACTGCTTCCACCACTTGCTACTGGTAAAAATTTAAGCAAGTCATTTAACGATTATGGTATTCACATCTCCGATTTATAAAATGGGGTATTGATTTGAACAGAGTTGTAAGGAATAAACTAAGAAGACAAAAAAGGTAATGCCCCTGGCAGAGTTCAAGAAATACCAATTTTTCTCTCTCTCCCTCTTTGATTCAACAACAAACAAATTTGAATGAACTCTGCATAACACTACATAAAATGCCTTAGTGCATCTCTGAAATTAAGATTTCACCAGGGTAGGCATGGTGACTCCAATGTGGTTATCTGACATTTTCCTAATGATAAGAATTGCCTTCAGCTGACTCACAGGCAATAAATAGGTCTTAGATCATTATCACCAAATAAGCCTCTCAGATATAGTCTTTAGTGAACACCTGATTAAACCATGACTGAGAAATATCCAATTCAATGACCTAACCACAAAAGCAGTAAATTTTAGAATACAAGTAATAACTACTTATCAATGAGTAATTCTGTTATTTAACTTAAACAAAGACATATTACTTTACAAAGCAAAAATAAGGCTTCCATTTCACTTTTGTTGGTCTGCTCAAAACTTCAGATTCATTTAATGAAAAATAACCTTGCTATAGATCACCTGACTTAACTGTTTAGAGGCAACTCTTGATTTTTCTTTAGCAGCCTCTGACTGATTTATGATTTCTCATAAGGACAGAACTTAAGTGACATTCTTATTTTCAAAAAGCCTACAGTTTGAGGGCTGACCATGCTTTTGAAATACTCTGATGTAGAGATGTGGTGTTGGGAAAAATAAACTGCAAATCTATATAGGCTCAAAATGCTTTCTCTTAAAAAACAACTCCCTAATAATCTAAAGTGTTTTGATCCAGCCAGAAATCCTGTTTCACCAGACCCTATAGCCAGTTTTTAGGCTGCTGATTGCCTAACCAATAGCCATTTACTACCTTCAGTCTTGCCAACAGTATACCAGATTGGTTTGCTATTACTAACATTCTTCCTAGGCCTCAGAATAAGACTTTTCTAGTCCAGTGTATTTGAGTTTATTTATTAGCTTGACTGCTAGTGCATTCATGATTCTATGTCAATCACTCTATCTGAATTATGCCAGAAGTTTGTTAAGGCAATTCTAACTAGTATTTGCTGTCGCTCCCCCTCTTTGTGGAGGAACGACACTAAACCCTGCGCTGTTCTTTTGTCTGCTCGGCCCTCCCCGGGTTTGCTGCTGGTTCTTCCCGGGTTGGCTACCGTCCCTTCCACCTCCGTGGAAGGGCAGTTCCCCCTAGCCACTTTCCCCACTTCCGCGGGGGAGCGGCACACCGCCGGCCGGCTCTCTCGGGGGCTGCTCAGATGTTATTCGGATAGATATTCCTGGTGCATGTTGTCTCTCTCCTCCTTTATAGTCCTCTTCCACCAATCCCAACTCTGCTACCCACACACCGAGTACGCTGCTCTCCTCCAATCAGGAGCAGGTCCTACAGTTTATTGGTTGAACTGGAGGCAGCTGTGTAGAAGCTGTTTCTCCCTTCTCAGCGCCATATTGTGGGAGCAGATGCATAGAATAAGTCTTAATTCCAGTAACTTAGTCTAGTCCGAGTTGCTCCCCACAATTTGCTTTCTTACCAAGAGCCTGTGTCAAACTGATGTTCAATTAAACCTTGCTACAAGTTTTCAAAAGCACTTCTTTGGTGAACAAATTTCCTCTGTGGTCTTTGTTGGGACAATTGATAATCATTATCTTTGAGATAAAATTTTTATGTATAAAATTATATTTCTGAAATCAGTTCCAAAATTAATTCAATAAAATAGAGAGAGTAGAGAGAGATAGTTAAGATTAGGCATAAATTGTTGATGCTAGGTAATGGTATATGGAGTTCATTAGACTATTCTGTCTACTTTTGTTTATGTTTTAAGTTCTCTATAATAACAAAACTTTTTTTTTTATAGTCTCACAAGGTAATGTTCATTGAAGTCACAGTAAAGTAATACTGTATGATTGTGACTTCCAGGACTATACAGTATTTTCATCACTATAACAACATATCTAATAAGACAAGCTACTTAAGAAAGTAGAGGTTTATTTCAGCTCATGGTTTCAGAGGTGCATACTCCAAGATCTGGAGAGCCCACTGATTAGGCATCTATTGGTCTTGTTCCTGTTGGCAGAGTCCTGAGGCAGCACAGAGCATCACATGCCAAGAGGGAGTCTACAGTGTGGGTGGGTGAAGGATCATATGTGAACCATGAAGCAGAGAGGGAGAGGCTGGACCCAGCTCAGGCTTCTATAACCAATCCTCTCACGAGAGCTACACTCTGAGGGCATGCCCCTAATGACCTAAGAACCTCTCCAGTCCCACCTCCTAAACACTATAATTGAGCTATATTTCCACTCTCTGAATACCATTAATTTATGACTTTGAGGTTCAAATGTTTACATGGGTTTTAAAGCCAAATTCTGTTAAGACCATAGCATATGTCCCAGCTCCCTAAAACTGATGTTCTTTTCACATACAACATATACTCATTCAACTCCAAACAGACTCAAAGTCTTAACTCAGTCCACCATTTAATTCAAAAATCCAAAATTCAATGTCTTATTTGACTCAAACTTATAAAAATCCAAGTCACATATTTCACATAAGGTACAGTGGGACAGGCATAGCATATACATTTCCATACCAAAAGGGGGTAACAGACAAACAGGAAAGATTAACTGGACCAAAGCAAGATCAAAAATCAGCAAGGCAAACATTAAATCCTAAAGCTCCATGTCCAGCATCCTGGGCACAACTATAGCAGGGGCAGTTCTGGCCCATTGGCTTTGCTGGTCCCAGCCCATGCTTCAGTTCTCACAGGTTGTAGTCTTGACTCCACTAGGAATTGCCTGGTGAGAGCTCCCTGTGGTAACTCCAGACTCACATTTCCACTTGGCATTGCTTTAGTGGAGGCTCTTCCATGTGGCTTCACTCCTGTGACAGGTCTCTGCCTCAGTCCCCAGATTTTCTGAGATATCCTTTGAAATCCAGTTGGAGGCTCTGTTGGTCTCTGCCCACATGGCTGCTCTCTGAAGCTGCACACTGATGTCTGAGGCCCATGTTGCTGGCACCTCTACCTTTCTGGGGTCTCCAAAGTGGCTTCACTTTCACAGTTTCATTAGACATTATTCTATCAGGAGTTCTACACAGGAGCTCCAATTCTGCAGCACAACTCTACCTGGCCTCACAGCTTTTCCTTTGAAATCTTAGTAGAAGTCTTACATTCTATATGCCTGGAAAACCCAGTATCACATCAAGGTCTGCCGCCAGCACAAGCTGCATCCAGGCCTACTTGAACCATGGTTTCAGCTCTGGAGTTCCTTACTACTTGAACGAATAAGAAAAAACAAATCCCAAGCTGGTCTTCAGCAAGCTTGCTGGAAGTGCCCTGGGATTTCATAAAAATAATTCTGCACTTCCAGGCCTCTGAGCCTGTGATGGGAGGGGCAGCCTCCAGATTTCTGAGATGCCCTTGAGGCTTTCCCTCACTGTCTTGCCAATAAGACATGGCTCATTTTTACCTGTACTAATCTCTTTAGCAAGAGGTTCCTTCACTACACACTTTAGTTCCAAATCCTTTCTTTTCTGCTTCTCTGGCTAGGCTGTAAAAATTTCACATTCTTCCATTCTGCTTCATTTTGCTCCTGATTTTCACTATTAGCATCCAATACCCAGGCTGCAAACTGAATACCTTGTTGCCTTAAAATCTTCTCCACCAAACTAATTCATCATTTCTAAGCTCGGCTTCCCACAAACTATCCCCACAGGAACATAGTGTAGTCCGGTTCTTTGCCACAGTATAGTGAGTGTGGCTTTCTGTCCAGTTCCCAATAAAATCCTCATTTCTACCTGAAATGTCATCAATATGGTCTTTCCTACTCACACTTACATCAGCATTCTGGTCGTCTAAGTCCTCGCCAGAATCACTCAGAACACTATTTACAGCCTTCTAGGCTTTCTTCAGCCTGTCTCTCCAAACTCTTGATAAATCAATTCTTGATAAATCAATTCTGAAGGATTCTCCACATTATCAAGGAAAGTTATACTACTGACCCCACTCCTTGGTACCAATTTTCTGTATTAGTCAGCTTTCTATTACTACATGCTACTTGTGAAGCAGGGAGGTTTATTTCAGCTCATGGTTTTCGAGGTTCACAGCCCAAGACTGGGTGGTCCCACTGGTTCGGCATCTGGTGATCATGTTCTTGGTGGTAGAGTTCAGGTGGTACAGAGTACTACATGGCAAGAGGGAGCATAAAGTACCAGTGGAGGAAGGATCACATGTGAGCCAGGAGGCTGACAGAGAATGGCTTGGCCCAACTCTGCCTTTTATAAGTAGTCCTCTTGTGAGAACTACCTTTCAAGGGCATGGCCCCAATGACTTCCCACCAGGCACTTCCCACCAGGCCTACCTCCTAAGTACCATAATTGGATTATGTTTCCAACAGCTTAGTATCATTAACTTATGACACTGAGGTTTAAATGTTAACATGAGTTCTGGAGCCAATCCTTGTTCCAAACTATTACATCTAGAAAGCATCTAAGAAAACATAATTTAAATTATGCTGGGTTTTGCAGTCCTGTAACTGATTAAAGGACAGAGCAGAATCAGAATGCTGTAAACTTGAGAGAAGTAATTCTTTCTAAGGTCCTTCTATAACACCCTTAATGTAGAACTAAGAGTACACACCATTAACTTAAACTTGACATTTAAGTCTTGGTTAAAACAAAAAAGAATAGAGAATATTTTCTATGCCTTGTGCTTTACTTATTAGAGAGTGAAATTGTGTTGCAGTGAGCTAAATTTTTAGTTGTGCTTAAAATGTGCTCCCTCCTACGTTCTACTCTGGAAAAATGAAACTTCTTATTCTTCCTTAGAATCCTGGAGCCTGAAACTGATCAACATTAGGATTCCATACACACCCAGAGTGATACCCAGTTTGAGGCTTTGAATAGCTACTCATGTAAGTTGACTTTTCTGTGCATTTATATTGAGGAGGATCCAGCTCAGGTTGATGTCCTGGGAACCAATGGGGTTCACGCTTAAATCCTGAGGGAAGACAAAAGAGGAGACACAAGTGGAAACCGACAACAACAAATTTAGTAATGAGTTCATTCTTATTTCTGAGGGACTAGACAGTGAGTCCTATCAAAATTGAGAAAAGGAGGCCTGGAGCTGTGGCACAGGTTAAGCTTCTACTGCAGTGCTGACATCCCATATGGGCGCCAGTTTGAGTACTGGCTGCTCTGCTTCTGATCCAGCTCCCTGCTAATGTGTCTGGGAAAGCAACAGAAGATGGCATGAGGGACCTGGAAGAAGCTCCTGGCTCCTGGCTTTGGCCTGGCCCAGGCGCAGCGTGTTGCAGCCATTTGGGGAATGAGTCAGAGGATGAAAGATCTGGGGAATGAGTCAGAGGACTAAAGATCTTCTCTCTCTGTTTCTCCCTTTCTCTAAGTCTGGCTTTCAAATAGATAAATGAATCTTAAAAAAAAAAAAAAAAGAGGAAGTAGAATAGTCCACCTACTATGAGTTGAAAGTGGCATGTGGTTGTTGTAGCTTGTATCATATGTTGTTTCAAAATAGTGCCCAAACTGGAAAGAAAAATTAATAGATTTAGAGTCTAGGAGTCTACGGCTAACACTAGGAAGGACAATATGAAATGAATTCTAATGGGCTGCCATATTTTAGATAGACTAGAGGTCTATATGTCATCAGTCTAGATCCTACTAACTTTCCTATCCTTTGTTTGTTCAGGGGAAATTTAAGAGCAAAACTCAGATAAAGGACAAATCTAGACATGTAAGAACCAGAGGAGAAGGCTAGCTTGAGTCAGACTATATTATATATTTCTGTGGATTAATAAAGTCCAAATAGAAGAGAAAAAGAACATTTTTATATTTTTCAGATAATATATTATTATCCAACTAGACAGTAAAGTGGGATATGCAGTTCAGATGAGAACTGACCCCTTTCTCAATCACTTCACTGAACAGGAGCTTGAGAAATCTAAGCATTGGAAGTTATTAGATTCCTGCCTGACAAGAGGTCACAGACATTTCCTTTTCTGGCAGAAGGAAACAAAAGAAAATAAAGACTACCTGGGAAGGCAAGGGTTTGGGTTGCACAATATTCCTTAGGTCATATCTTTCTTGGTTCCAGTTGCCCATTAGGGTACGGTTTGAGTAAGAATTCTCATTAGTGGTGCATCTCCATCCATACTGGAAAAACTTGGACATGTCAGTCCAATCTGTCCACACTTCACCATGGCCATCTGCGTTAATGATACTGCCACAATGTGGGTTTATAAGAAAATAGGCGAGGGTCTGTCTCTAGGAAAAGACAAAAATAGAAAAGCTTAACGTATAAATCAGAGAACAAAAACAAAAGGCATACCTTCCTATCCTCTGCTTTACATAGCCAGGTGTATCATCAACATATCTACAAATTATGTATGATTTCCTTTAAATTTGTTGTGGTTCTGTTTCTATCTTTCTCGGCCTATGAACCTATTGATCTATTCTCTTAATCAGAAGTAATGAATGACTATATAGATTAAATGCTTACCCCCAGCCCCCCAAAAGAAAGAAAAACCTTTAATATTTACCATCCTATTTGCAGAATTAGTTAAATGTTTAGGTAATTTTGACATGTAGGAGTTTACTTTGCTATAGTTAAAATAAACATGAAGAAGTGGGACCAGCATTGTGGCATAGCAAGTAAAGTTGCCACCTGAGTCACTGGTATTCCCTATAGATGCCAGTTTGAGACCTGAATGTTCCACTTCTAATTTAGCTCCCTGCTAATGTGCCTGGGAAAGTAGCAGAGGATGACCCAAGTGCTTGAGGCCCTGCACCCTCGTGGGAGACCAGGAGGAAGCTCCTGTCACTTAGTTTCAGTCTGGTCCAGCCCTGGCCATTGTGGCCATTTGGGAAGTGAACCAGCAGATGGAAGATCTCTCTCTTTCTCTCTCTCTGTCTCCCTCTTAACTCTGCCTTTCAAGTGAATAAATATTTAAAAAAATGAAGTGAGAGTTGAATAATTACATATCATAATATGTGATCAATAAATAATTTCCTTCCTTCTGAGCCCAGCTCAAATGATGCCTTCCCTAAAGTTAAATTCTCTCTCCTTTAACTCATGCAGAACCTTATCTTTATATCTTTCACTGTATTTATAACTCTCTACCATGTGTGAGAGTTCTTGAAATACACATTGCATCACCTCTAATGAACTGTATTGTATACCTTTTCAGGGCAGGATCTGTGTTTTATTCATTATTGAACTCTGTTCCCCTGCCTGCCATCCAAATCAATACTGCTTTTCTTTTTTTTTTTAACTTTTATTTATTTTTTATTTGACAGGCAAAGTTATAGACAGTGAGAGAGAGACAGACAGAAAGGTCTTCCTTCCATTGGTTCACCCCCCAAATGGCCGCTATGGCCGGAACTATGCCGATTCGAAGCCAGGAGCCAGGTGCCTCCTCCTGGTCTCCCATGCGGGTGCAGGGGCCCAAGCACCTGGGCCACCCTCCACTGCCCTCCCAGGCCACAGCAGAGAGCTGGACTGGAAGAGGAGCAACCGGGACTAGAACCCGGCGCCTATATGGGATGCCGGCCCCGCAGGTGGAGGATTAACCAAGTGAGCCACGGTGCCAGCCCCAATACTGCTTTTCATACATCAGATAATCAATGTCTGAATTTCATTTTTTAGGTAAGCAAAAAAAAAAGCCCTTCCTCTCACCCCCCAAAAGAATCTGGTCCCCTGGTTTAGGAGCAAGGTAATACCTTCTCTGAAGAACAATAAGTTGATGCTGAGTAGCCTGACTTGTTTGAAGATTTCCTAAGAGAAAAACAGAAATCCTTTCTTGGCTGTTCCATGTTCTTTAAAGATGTCACCAAACCTGACCTTCCCAGTTCTCCAAGCAAACAAAGAATGTAGATTACTCAGATCACCAGGGCCAGATGGCCATGATTTGGAAATTACAACAAGTGCCTTTCCACAGGAAGAGACAAGACCAATAACATAGCACTAAAAGGTGGCATCTCAGGTTAACTGCCTCACACCATCTGCCTTTGTGAACATCTGCATGCACTGATGTCATCAAATAGCTTGATGACTAGAGTAGCTGTTCTCACAAAGTCCAGCATGCCCAGGGCTCAGACTGAAGACCCAGGTGACAGTTCTGTCCCTTGGGCTGGCATGACAGACATCATCATCCACTCCATTGTCTAAGCCTGGGACTCATCTTTGACTATGACTTCTCTTTCATAATTCATTCAATCACTGAGTCTTTTTGACTTAAAAAAATGTTTATTTTTGGGGCCAACATTGTGGCATAGCATATAAAGCTGCCGCCAACAGTGCTGGCATCCCATACAGGTGCCAGTTCGAGATCTGGTTGCTTCACTTCTAATCCAGCTCTCTGCTATTGGGCTTAGAAAAGCTTAGAAGATGGCCCAAGAGCTTGGTCCCCTGCACCTGGGTGGGAGACCCGGCAGAAGTTCCTGGTTCCTGGCTTCAGATCATCCCAGCTCTGGCCATTGAAGCCATTTGGGGAGTGAACCAGTGGATGGAGGCTCTCTCTCTGCCTCTCTCTCTAATACTGCCTTTCAAACAAATAAATCTTTTTTTAAAAAATGTTTATTGTCATCTACTTGAAAGGCACAGGTAAGAGAGGGAGGGAGAGAGTAAGGGAGGGAAGGAGGGAGGAAGAGATCTTCCGTGTGTTGGTTCACTCCCCAAATGGCTGCAACAGCCATGACTGGGCCAGGTAGAAGCCAGGCACCTGGAACTCCATCAGGGTCTACCATGTAGGTGGCAAGCGCCCAGGTACTTGAGTCATCTCCTGCTGCCTCCCAGAATTACCACCTCTACATCCCCTCCCCCACCTCCTTGACCTTTAAATCAGTTCACTGGTCCCCATCCTCACTGCCAAGTTCCAGTTTAGATGACCATCAGCCATTGTCTCTATTACTGCAGCTGCCTCCTATCTGATCTCCTCCTCCCCTTATTGGACTTGCTCCTCTCCAATCCTTTCTCAATACAGAGGCAGAAATTTGCCGCTAATTGTGGCATCTTCCTACTTAAAATCTTTCAGTGGCTTTCCACTGTTTTCAGAACGAGATTCAGCCCGTTTAAACAGCTTACAGTGCTCTCTGTGACCGTGACCTGGGCCCTGCTTAACTGTTCAGACAGCCACTCTCCTTCCAACTGTGTTTCAGCCTCACTCAACTACTGTTTTTCCATCATGCTTCTCCTGTGTCGTTCCTGATGTTTCTTCACTTCTCTTGACCTGGTAAGATGTACTTTCCTCTCCTTGGCTGTCAACTCAGGTTCACGCCATTCAGGGAATCTTCCCACTTCCTCAGCACTCTGAATCCCTCCACTTTTCCAGACCCTCTGTTTCACTTCGCGTATTCTCCACCACTCTGTAGGCGCAAAGAAATCACAGGCCACATCGTGTTCATTCACATATCTACCCACTCTCACAGCGGTCTAGCATTCAGTATCTCTTGAATGAAGAGAAGGTAGGAGACAAAAGCACCTGGAGGAGCTGTGAGCAGTGGAGGTAATGGGAGGCAGACATTTCGGAAAAGACGAAGGCAGTTCCCAGTTCTGCGTCAGGAACACGCGGGACACAGCCTTTGGCCTCGGCCCCGCCCCGCTTTTTTCCACAGAACTCGCCTCACGGTCTGCGCTAGTGACTGCTTATGACCTCATGCACGTGTGACGAAGTCGCCGAGGGTTCCCCTTGGGCTAAAAGGCATTTTGATTTTCTTGTGTAGGTGAGGGTGAAGGAACAAGTGGGTGGGTCTCTGGACTTCGCACTTCCGGTTTACTGTTCTCTGCATTAGTCGCTCACTAGTTCGTCAAGCCAACCCGGCGATATGCATGCGTCATCAAGCAGAGACACGCAAAGGGGCGGGAAGAGAGCTGTGGAGGAAGTGACGCAAGAAACGAGCGCCACAGGGCTCGGGAGAGCGAGACCGTGGCGACCATGGGCCCTCGGCGCCTCCTCTTGGTTGGGGAGGGAAATTTCTCCTTTGCCGCGGCTCTGAGCGAGACTCTGGATCCGAGCACTACTAGTCTTACAGCCACCTGCCCCCAACGCCCCGCGGATTTGGCCCAGGATCCTGTGGCCCAGGAAAATCTGCAGCGCCTGCGCAGGCGAGGTAGCGGGACCAGCCCCTTCCGCGAAGCCCCGCCCAGCTGCCGGCGCCTCCCACATCGGAAAGGGCGGGGGCGTGGGGGCGTACCCTTGAGGTGACAGCGCTTGATGTCACAGAAAGTAGGCCGTGTGCCCGGTGGACCTGAAGTGGTTTGCACGGCCCAGGAGTGTTCTCCGCCTCACATACTCCTCTCTCTCTTTTGTATCCCCGAACTATCTTTGCCAGGTTCTGAGATACGTTTCTGTGTGGACTGCACCCAGCTGGCAGATGCCTTTGAACTGCACAGTAGGGGGTTTGATCGAATTTATTTTAACTTTCCGCACTGTGGACGCAAAGCTGGAGTTGCTAAGAACAGGCAGCTGCTTGCCAAGTTTTTCCAGAGGTGAGGAAAGGAAAGCGAGACAAGTGAAATGTTTAAGATGTCCGTAACAGTTACTGCACTCAAACATTTAAGCTGGGCAAGTAACGGAGACGTGTGTAAGTTACCGTGGTATATTTAGAATGGACTACAGCCGCAGAGGAACCCACAATCTAGATGGAAAGGCGGATGCCTAACCCTAAATGCTAAGCAAAAGCAAATAGTGTACTCTTGTGTCTGCAAGGGAGAATCTTTCTTTTTTCTGCATGAACTTAGGAGCCAAACTGACTGGATTCAAATCCTGGTCCACCACTTACTTAATCCTTTTCCACTTCTGTTTTCTCATCTGTAAATTGGGGCTATTAGTAGTAATGGCCTCATGAAACTATTGTGAACTTGCTTCATTCTACTGTACTAAAATACATGATTCTATTGGAGGTGTCCCGTGGTTTGTAATTGTCGAATAACTTTTCACAGAGGTAGTATTTTAAGCTAGTGTTTCAAGTATAGAATTTTTTTAAAAAAATTTATTTGAAAGGCAGAGTGACATAAAGAGAGCAACGTCTCCCATTAGCTGGTTCATTCCCCACAACAGCTGGGGCGGGTGGGAAGTCAATCCTGGTCTTCCCCCATGGGTGGCAGGGACCCAAGCACTTGACCTATCACCTGCTGCTCCTTAGCAGGAAGCTGGAATCAGGAGGAAAGCCAGGACTTGAATCTAGACACTCCAGTATGCAATGTGGGCATTCCAAGCAGGATCTTAGTTGCTGTGGCAAACACCTGCCCTGAAGTATAGACTTGTAATTGCCAGGAGGCTAGTGAAAAGAACTTCTTAAATGGGGAGAAAGAGCCTAAGAAGTGAAATATGTATAGGAACTTTGCAGTCATTGGCCTTTCTGTGACATATAGGAGAGCAAGACAGATGGAAGGCTGGATGACTCCCTGGTTAGCTGCAAGTATCAGAGGGTTGAATATTTAATTTATGTTATTTAAATTCTTCTAGCTACATTTTTACAGGTTTGAGGTCTAATAGACCTTTGAAAATAGGTATGATTGAATTTTAATTACTTCATAGCTAAACCATATGTGTATTGCTGCCTCCTAGGGGTAATTTCTAGTTGCTCTGGATAAATGGCTGCTGTTTTCCTCATTAGCTGTGCAGATGTGCTTGCAGAAGAAGGAGAAGTCCATGTGGCATTGTGTAGAGGTCAAGGTGGAACTCCTGCTGATAAGCCCCAGAGAGAATGGCACAACAGTTGGCAAGTGGTTGCCATGGCAGCTCTGGGGGGATTCATTTTAAGTGATGTGCATCCCTTTAGCTGTGAGGCTGTGCCAGGATACAAGTGCACTGGATATAGGTAAGTAATAACAGAGACACCAGCCTTATATATCATCCCTTTCACTAAGAATTAAAAAAAAAAAAACCTCATAGACTGACTTTCCCCTGATTCAGTGTGTAGAAATACCTGCATTCTGTAATAATGACAGATTTCATATTGGTGACTATTTTGCCAGGAGTCAAGATAAGTCCTTTCATGTAGAAGGTGCTTTGAATCATATCTTCACCCGGAGCTTACCATTTGAAAGTTCTCAACCCAGAATTTTCAGGATCAAATTGGGTGACCAGTGGTTTTCCTTTCCAGAACCAGAAGCACTTGTGGGAAAGTTGAACAGGTAACCTGTTACTTTTCTGGAAATGATTTTCTTGATAGAAGACAAGACATGTACATTGAATGGATTGTATCTAAACTGTTAGTGAGGTTGCTGTGCGAATAGTCAGTCTGGCCTCATCAAGCCTCTTTAAAATAAAAAAATTGTCAGTTTTTTCTTGTCTATGGTACAAGTGGTAGTATTAAGGTTCTGAAACATATGATAGCTCTTTTGGTAGATTTATTTTCTTTCAGGATGAACTTAGGATAATTCTGTTCCATATAGCTGTTTGTATTTCTAATTCTATCTCCATTGTGATTATCATTCTAAGTTAGGAAGGTGATTTTACATGTGTCTCAACAGGAGTTTCCTGGAAGCGCCTTCATGTCATCCTGTCAGAACTGTGAATGAGAAACTCATTGCTGAATTGGGCAAAGCCTTCCCTCTAAAGAGGCTGAAGTGTTCCTTCCCTTTGCTGCCACAGGAAAGTACTAGTGTTCTCCCTTCCTGGAACTGTGATCTTACATCAGCTGCCTTTTGGATTAATCTCCATGAAGATAATGCAAATTCTGAGTCCCAGACTTGTGGGACAACACAAGATATGGAGGACTTTCTAGTGTCATTTTCGGAACTCACACTTCCAAAGAGTCCTGAAAGAGATGGTAAGAAAGAAGTCCATGAAGGAATCTGTGGCCGGGCCAAGGTCTGCCTTCGACCTTCTCTTCTAGTTCATGTTCAGGCTGCCATCCAGGCCCCAGACTTCATCCCAGGGTTTCTGCACATCCTCAGTGGGCCTGTCTTTCGGAAATGTCGCATTTTGCCTTTCACGATGCCAGCATTTCATGAGACCTTATTTATATATGGGTTTAATCAGAATCCCCAAGATGGCTGTTTTCAGTCACTGCTGGATCACCTGAAGGACAGTCTCGATAGTTTTCTGACCCAGACATCGCTGGAGGGTTCTGAGCTGAGCAGCTCAATGGAATTTGTCCTCCAACCAAATGGAAGAGATTATGTGATCTGTGTGAAGTCTCACAATTTTGGCTCATATTGTGCCAAGGATCTGGTTATTGGGGCTGTCACCACATCTGCTATAATAAGCACTACACATAAAGACCAGCGTTTTGTGTTTGTGTCTGTTAACTTGGACTTATTAGCCATGCTTGTTTGGGGTATCTCTGATTGGAGAATGTTGTGGACCTTTGATAGCCGTTTCCTAAAAAATTTTGTACCTGGGAAAATAGAACCCTTTAAAAGTTACGCTCTGTATCCTCCATGCTACGTGCATGATATTAGTTTTTGGTTAGATGAGAAGAAAGGATTTGATGAATTGGAGTTTCACTCTGTGGCCCGAGCAGTGTCCCAGGACACTGTTGTAGCCATACAATTCCTTAATCGTTTTCAGCATCCAAACACTGAACAAGTCAGTCTCTGCTACAGACTGACCTATCAAACCTGTGATAAGGCCCTCACCCAGAAGCAGGTAGCATCAATGCAGTCCCAGTTTAGGAAGGAGATTCAACGACAACTACATGTTATACCTCGGTAGTTCTTTCTACAGTGTGATCCTTTATTTGTGTGTGTGTGTGTTTGTGTGTGTGTATGCAAAAGACCCATATGCAACCAGTGGTCCTTTCTGGACCGTGTCTTTTTGTGAAGTCTTTTACGTTGTGACTGCAGCAACTGTTGGTTGACCCTAATGATACCTGTGACTCTATCACTTAAAAACTTACTGACTGTAATGTGCCTGATGATTTTTTGAGTTGTGCAATATATTGGTCCTGAGTAATAACTTAAGACAACAAACATAACAGCATCTCGCACATTAGATGCTCTGTTGAAGAGGCAGTGGAACTTAAGTATCTCATCAAATAAATTTATAAGTATTTTTTCCATGCTGTCAATTCCTCTTCTAGTGTATCTTCTTACTACATCAATTTATGACAGTGGTTTTTGGATTCAGATCAACATTTATTAGTGTAGAGCTTGAAAATGCTGCATAATTACTGTTGATGTTATTATCATTTTAATTCTTTAGTTGAGTATTCTCAAGTCATGGATATAGTAAATGTAAGATTTGGAGTTAACATTGGGGTCTGACTGAAACTCAGCCACTTTTTTTTTTTTAAAGATTTTTAAAAATTTATTTGAAAGAGTTATAGAGATAGGTAGAGACAGAGAGAGAGAGAGGTCTTCTATCTGCTGGTTCACTCCTCAAATGGCTGCAATGGCCAGGTCTTCCACGTGGGTGCAGGGGCCCAAGGACTTGAGACATCTACTGTTTTCCCAGGCCATAGCAGAGAGCTGGATGGGAAGAAAAGCAGCTGGGATTCGGACTGGTGTCCATATGGGATGCAGGTGCTTTGGGCCAAGGCTTTAACCCTTTGCGCCTCAGCACTGGCCCCTATGCTACATTCTGTTACTTTACTTCTTCCCTAGTCTTTTCCAACAGGTACTAGACATGAGATCTGAATGTTTGGACTTGGTAACCAGTGACTACACGTGGGAAATGAGCAGTCCGACCAGTTCCCATTTTCAATACTTGGGGATTTTTAGTATGAAGTCATAACTTTCTGGGATCCTGTCAAGTTCTGTACTCTGTTAGGGGAGTGATGAGTGTCAGAATCCAAACAGTGACTCACAAGAGTTCCAGGTGTGATAGCATCAAAGTGCCTACCTAAAAAATGCCTGTATCAGGACCACTGCTGTGGCTTAGCTGGTTAAGCTGCAGCCTGGACCTCCAGCATCCCATATGCGCACGAGTTTGAGTCCTAGCTGCTCCACTTCCAACATTCCTGCTATTGTGCCTGGGAAAGCAGTGGAGGATGGCCCAAGTCCTTGGGCCCCTGCACCCGGATGGGAGACCTGGAAGAAGCTCCTGGCTCCTAATTGGCCCAGCTCTGGAGGTTGCGGCAATTTGAGGAGTGAATCAGTGGATGTCTCTCTGTCTTTCTCTCTACCTCTGCCTTTCAAATAAATAAATCTTAAAAGGAAAAAAAAGCCTGTATTAAATGACGAGTTTCTCCTGATTGGTGAGTCTCTGCAGTATGACAGTCCTGGTTTGGAATATGGTCCCACCACTTATAGCTGCAACCTTGTGCCTCAGATTCCCTATTAGTAAAACAAGGTCGTATTACATGTTGAACTAATATATACAACATGTACCTCAATGCTGTAGTAGCAATGCAGTGAGTGACAGCTGATTGAATTTGCTGCACAGGATTTCATTAGTCTTTCACTCTTTCACAGTCTACATCGTGCCATCACAGCTTTGTCTCTCTGTTAGCTGTAGATTGTCCTTGTCACTCAAACCACAGAGAGCAAGGAGTTAATGAACAACTTTTTGGAAACACCCCCTCCCCTTTTGGCAGACATCTGAGTATCTTCCCAGCACATTTTGTAGAGTTGAGCACTTTGAATTGGTGCTTTCATTTAAATAGGGTAGTTTTTATAGGTGGGGGGAGGTTGCTAAAAAGTGAGCGAAGCGTTTGAGCAAGGGAGAGAGGAATGCCCAAGGTTAAAAGTATGTGGAAGGGTTGGCTACGAAGGGAAAAATCAAGTCTCAGGTTCCATTTCTTCTACAACTTGGGGATTTACCCCAGTCGGCCCAATTACACCTGGATTTCGTCTTTTCTGCGCATGTCAAGGTCTTTTGTCCCTCGGCGGACGCCGTTTGCCAAGCAAAGCATGTCTCCGCGCTCGCTGACTTCGTAGGGTGCCGAATTCTACCTTCTTTTCCACGCCTGCCATGGCGAGCCGAGGGGCTCGGCAGCGCTTGAAGGGCGGCGGCGGCGGCAGCGGCGGGGACACGGCCCCGGCCGCGGAGAAGCTGCGGGAGCTGCTGTGCAGCCGAGAGGCGAGCAGCGCGGAGCACCGGGGCGAGTACGTGTGCTGGCGCGGCGGGGGCGTGGCCGGCCGGGCGGCGCGGCGTGGCTCCGGGCCGGCCCGGGAGGGTCTTCCACTCGGCCTCCTGGTCGCGTGGCTCCGGCTCTGTCCTCAGCCGGGGCTTCCTGCCCTTCCTGGAGTGGGGGGTCAGCGTGCGAACTTAGATCCCGCCACCTCGGGGCTCTTCTCTCTGGGGAAGAAACCCCGGGGTGGTGCGGGTCTGTGCTGCGTGGGCTGGCTTGGTGGTGTTGGAGTTGGCAGTTTCTCAAGCGTCTTTCATTCCCCCCCAGAAGTCTGACCCTTTCCTCCCCTGGGTGGGCCCCCTACCTGCAGCACCTGCAGCCTCCTCTCCCCAAGCCCCGGAGACCGCAGGTTCCCACTGCATTAGAGCAGCAGTCAACACAGTTCTGTACATTGCGCATCTTAGGCCGCTAGGTACCGGGACATATGGGGGAAATGAATAAAGCCAGGCAAAGTAATGACCTTGTTAAGAAAGGAGAACGAGGAGCTTTGTGGCCTTCACGTGAGTGGGACGAGCAGTGTCAGCTGTGGCAAGCCGAGGCGTGCGAATTGACGCGCACCTGAAAGAAAGTCTACGGAGAGATTCACAGTTCTCCCTTTTTGGTGAAGAACTTCAGTGCTCCGATGCCCCTTGGCTTTCTTGGCCTCTCTGTCTCGTGTCCGTCACTCTGGTTAGCAGGTGCTTCCTGACGTACTTTGATTTTTTGCTTCTGAGCAGGTTGTCTGGAAACAAAGCAGGCCAAGTGTGGGCGCCCGAGGGATCCACGGCTTTCAAGTGTCTGCTCTCCGCGCGCCTGTGTGCGGCTCTTCTGAGCAACATTTCTGACTGCGATGAAACTTTCAACTACTGGGAGCCAGTAGGTGATTTCTTGAGTTTTCTTGATTTTGCTGCTTGGGACTAACTACTAATCAAGATCCAAAATAAATGAGTGTGACTCCTAGGAAAAGGACTTTCACTTTTGTATTCAAAGCTCATGATTTACCTACGATGGAAGGATAGCGGAGTTTAGTGGGTTTGCTCCAAGATTTGTCATTAAAATTTTTTTTTTCATCAAAATAATACTTGGAGATAGTTTTTGAGGGCAACAACTGCACTTAAAGAAACAGAAGGGGCCGGCGCCGGGGCTCACTAGGCTAATCCTCTGCCTGCGGCGCCGGCACCCCAGGTTCTAGTCCCGGTTGGAGCGCCGGATTCTGTCCTGGTTGCTCCTCTTCCAGGCCAGCTCTCTGCTGTGGCCCAGGAGTGCAGTGAGGATGGCCCGAGTACTTGGGCCCTGCACCCACATGGGAGACCAGGAGGAAGCACCTGGCTCCTGGCTTCAGATCAGCGCAGCACGCCGGCCATAGCAGTCATTTCGGGGGTGAACCAACGGAAGGAAGACCTTTTTCTTTGTCTCTCTCTAACTCTGCCTGTCAAAAAAAAAAAAAAAAAAAACAGTAACTCCCTTTTCCACTTCTGTCCAAATCCCTCTCCCTAGATATGACTATTTTTTCATCTTTTAGTTATTTCTTCTGAGGTTTACCAAAATTAACAGCGTTACTGAGTGGTACCCTGATATTACTATGTCTTGTTTTATTTATTTTTAATGATTTTATTTATTTGAGAGACAGAGATGGAGAGACAGAGAGAAAGATCTTTAATCTGCTTGTTCACTTCCCAAATAGCTGCAATAGCTGGAGCCATGCGGATCCAGAATCAGGAGCCTCTTCTGGGTCTCCCACACAGGTGCAGGGAGCCAAGCACTTGGGCTGTCTTCCAGTGCTTCCCAGGCCATAGGCAGAGAGCTGGATTGGAAGTGGAGCAGCTGGAACATGACTTGGCACCCATATGGGATGCCGGCTCTGCAGGCAGAGGCTTAGCCTGCTATGCTACAGTGCTGGCCCATGTTTCCTGTTTTATACATTTATACATTATCTATTGACTTCCTATAAAGGAAAAGTCAGAGTTAAAATTTTCTGATATTTTATATAAAAATGGAGAAAGAATGGCTAGCATAGGTAGAAGATTTAGAGTTTTTCTGTTTTGGTTCAAGATTATTATTTTTTAAAGATTTATTTAGTTTACTTGAAAGTCAGAGTTACAGAGAGGCAGAGAGAGAGAGAGAGAGAAAGAAAAAGAAAAAGGCTTCCATCCACTGGTTTACTCCTCAAATGGCCGCAGTGGTCGGAGCTGGGCTGATCCGAAGCCAGGAGCTTCTTCTGGGTCTCCCACATGGGTGCAGGGGCCCAAGGGCTTGGTCCATCTTCCACTGCTTTCCCAGGCCATAGCAGAGAGCTAGATTAGAAGTGGAGCAGCTGTAACTTGAACTGGCACCCACATGGGATACTGGCACTGCAGGTAGCAGCTTTATCCATTATGCCACAGCACTGGCCCATCAAGATTATTTTAAAAAGAAGCAGAGGGTAGAAGTCAAGCTTTCAGTGTTGACTAAACAGCAATCCTGTAGAATTTATGTTTGATATTTTTAATATTGGATCATTTTTATTCTTATCTGTTAGTTGCAGATCTTATTGACAATTTCAGCATTTTTCTATACCTTTGTAACATTTTATCTCAGAACCTTCACTTACATCCTCTTTAACAGGGGCTTTTGACCAATAAAACTCTGAACCCGTGTGTTTTGTGTTTTTAGACGCACTACCTCATCTATGGGAAGGGATTTCAGACTTGGGAATATTCCCCAGTGTATGCCATTCGCTCCTATGCTTATTTGTTGCTTCATGCCTGGCCAGCTGCATTTCATGCAAGAATTCTACAAACTAATAAGGTAAGGGTGGGTCAACCAGGGAGCAGTTGCAACTGATCAACAGGTGAGTCTGCATCAGTTTTGAGAAAAGGCCAAAATAAGTTGGTGGTACAGAGGGGACTTTTTATGAAGTCAATTATTCATTCATCACTCAATGAATATTAATGAAGTAGTTTTTATGTAGTAGATGCTGTGCTAAATACTGTGGCTGTAAAAGCGGCTAATTCCTTGACTTCATGGAACTTGTTGTTTAGTAGGGAAACCCTATTAAGAGTCTAATTTCAACAGAAGGCTGAAGTCCTAGTTCCATTCTAAGTCTCCTTGTTTGATGAGGGAGGAGTTCTAGCTCCTTACCAGGCCTCTACTGTTACTACACCATCAGACAGGGTAGGATCACCTGGTTACTGTGAGACTGAGGGTGAGGGGTGTCGCGTCCCTCGACCAGCAAGGAAGACACGACCCGAACTCTTCTTCCAGCAGTTTATTCAGGAACCTTGAACAAGCTTCTTCTTCCGCCTCCTTCCCTCTCCCATCCCTCTTATAGCCATCAGCACACCAATCAAAAGCAGCCAAGTGGCAAGGATTGATAGGTACAGCAATGCGGAAGCCGGAAGGGAGCTCAAACATCTCCTTATTAGGAGATGTTTGTTTCTCACCAGTCCTTCCGGGGGAAAGGAGCCGGCGCCATCTTTAGGGCGCCGTGCAATGGCTCCCCACAGTTCCCCCTTTTTGTTTTAGAACCAGGCATCTAAGGATTACAGGAGAAGGTAGGGGTCTGTCCCCCACTGCCAGGCATCCACCTGGAACAGCATCCTTTTCGCGGGGGTGGGATCTGGGATGCCAACCCACATGCAGACAGACTTGCCTTCCAGAGAACGTAATGGCTCGTTCTCTCTGCAGTGCTTTGCCTCGCACCCTGCACCCATGCCTAGCATTCAAGGAAGGCCAGCCATGCTTGCGGCAGTTGTCCAGCCTCAAGGGCATAAAAGGCTTGAGCTATCATGGCCAATTCCCGCCAATGAGCTGTCCTCATCCTGCACAAACACCACAGGCAAAATAACACAACAAGTAACAGCAACCCCGTCAAAGCTCCAAGTCCCGCCCACTCCTTCAGGCTGGAGACGGCTGTGCGGATCCAGGATGACAATCCAGATGCGAAGGAGACATCCACACGTGTGGAGTTGATGGTGACCACGGCAAGGCACAGTTGCTTCAAGGTGTAGTCAAATTCTGCGGACCAATTCTGCAAGAGCATCTGAGACAACTGTTTAGAGTAATTTGCTGCCTGAGTCATGTTATCGTACTGAACAGAGGTCACACACAACCCTGAAAATTTCCACTCACATCCTAGCTGAGCAAGCTGCCAGAGAGTATCCACCTGCTCCTGTACCAAATCCACACGCCGATTAACAATCATCAAGCCTCCCTTTATATGTACATTTAAGGATGTCTGAGTATCCAAAGCAGCAGCCACGGAGGCCGTCAAATTATTCAGGGTATTAGCAGTTTGAACTGTCCCTGTGAGCGCTATAGCAGCTGTTGTAGCGCCCACAGCTGCAATGGAAATGGCGGTTATAACGGCTGCAGTAACGATCCCAATCAGCAATGTTATAATGAAGATAGAGGGGCTGCTTTGTGACATTGTCTGTTTGCCGCACCAGTCGCTCAGGTAACCATCGAGAATATAGAAACATGTCCACGTCCCCATATTAAAACAGGGTCAGGTCCATACCATTGAGCAGTTAGAGGGTCTTTCCACTTCACATAGACTTGTCTTTTGGTTTCAGGTTGCCAGTGACGATCAGCTGCAGTTTTCCCTTGATTATCCAGTATTAGAAAATTTAAAATGAAAAGAGCATGTGATAGCCATTTTTGTGGGGAATATGCCATGGTTCCGTATTCCCCCTTTTTTATTTTTTGTAAATAATTTTTTAATGTGGCATGTGCTCGTTCCACAATACCTTGTCCCTGGGGATTATAAGGAATCCCGGTGATGAGAGATGTGGAAGCCAGCACAGAAGTGCTCAAAAGAGTTGGAAGTATACGCTGGGCCATTATTAGTTTTTATCTGTATAGGGGTTCCTAGAACAGCAAAGGCCTGAAGGCAATGAGAGATGTTTGGCAGCCTCGCCGCATTGCGGGGTGGCAAAAACAAAACCTGAACATGTATCTAAAGAAACATGTATGTATTTTAGTTTACCAAATTCAGAAAAATGGGTAACATCCATCTGCCAAAGCTTAAGGTTTGGACATTGAGGTGATGCAAATCATGACCATGGGATGCTTCTTAGACTTTGTCAGTTCCTCTTTAAAGGATCTGGCTACTGAGCCAGAGACTGGAGCAGCTAGAAAGAAACATGTTTATAGCTGAAGTTTAGCATCATTTCACATCTTGGCACCACTTTTAATCTAAACAGCCCGATTGGTTATTATCTCTGCAAGATGAGAGATATATCTTTTGACATCTCCAGGGGCCCTCTGGAGATACCAAAAGTCCAGAGAATTTAGAACTTTGATTTTCAGAAAGTCTGTTAAAGGTGCCAAGAGAACTTAGAGTATCTGGTCAAAATAGAATTCCTTAACATTTAGTCAGGACGATTTTAACACTTTTAGACCACATCTGATCATAATATTTAACATAACTTTTTAAGACTTAATACTTTTTATCAATCATAACTTAACAGACAGTAGAGTACACATTTACTTGGCAGAACATGAATTTTTAGGTAAACCAGAAATACAAAAACCCTGAACATAAGAGTCAGCACATGAAATTATCACATAACTCAGAACTATTTAACAGAGTTAAAAAGAGCTTACACAACCTAACTTTAGAAATGGCAGAGTAACTGATTAAGCAGACACTGTTAAAAAGAGACGTTACAGTTTTTGCAACAGATTTTAAGATTTACAATTGAGACCATTTCCAGATAATTACTAACATTAGTACACATTTTAAAAAATCCCATTGTTATAACAGAAGATCAGACTTCAACTTTAGGTTAGTGTAATTTTGGCATTAACATTTAACTTATAGAAAACTCTGTAAACAATGTTTTAAAATCGTAAACTTTTTACAACTTTTCATGACTTGCTCACACCTTCTGAAACTTTATACCTGTAGTTACTTTTACAGTCTTGAATTATCATGTATGGACAACCTATGAGAATACATGCTGGCAAACTTAAAAGTCTTATCAAATTTAAGATGTTAAAAGTACACATAATACATTTTCCATATTTTACTTAGCACCGACGCCTGGATAACTTAAAACACTGAGCTATTAATGAATACCACACCATTATCTGAATTAAAAGTCAAAATTACATTTCCATGCTTTTAAGTAACATAAGGATAGCACCACTTGGGCAGCAACAGTCACTAGTGCATATTTACAACTTTGAAAAGATCTTCATCCTTAAGAGAAACAAGTTTAAAGCATATCAAAGACATGTAAATGTAAAACTGAGCAAGTGAACCAAAGGGCGTTTGCATTAACCCAATTTTCTGAACCAATCTGTATTGGCTTACTTGAGTTAACAACATAAAGGCTTGTATACACAGAATTTACTCTCATTTTTATAAGACTACTTTAGCTGAAAAGCAAAAACATGAATACAACATAGATTTGACATCATTTACTACATTTTAATACACTTTGTATAATTTGAATTGACTCAAACAACAAATTTAGAGTCCCATCCTTTGAGAGTTCCAGGGATCCGACTGGAAGCCCCAAAGTTGAAAGACTCGGTTTAGAATTTAAACTGTCAGAGAGTCAAACCATTTTAGTCAAAAATTAGTACGTTTAACCAAGGCTGTGGACTAGATCTGATCAAAGTTAGGTACTCACTCAAACATTAAAGATATAACGTAAACAGCTTCATGATGCAGTTTTTCCAATCAAGACTCATACTGGCAATAGAAAAATGCGAAACCTTCAAGACACATGAAAACTCTCATTAGATAAGTTAGCTACAGCAGCACAGAAAAGAATTATCAGCGTATGAGCCCATTGCTTAAGTTTTTATTAACTGTAAAGAGAAAAACCCATCAAGTTGGAAAGGGTTATCGAATTAAGACTTTTCTCTAGGTCAAGATACCTGTGGAATTTTTCCTCTCTCTTTCTCCTGGCCTGTTGCATCTCCCTTTTTGTTTTAAAAGATATCCTTTCAGTGTGCGGTGTGCTCGCTCAATTATGCCCTGGCCCTGAGGATTGTACGGCAATCCATGGACAAGTTGAACCTCCATTTTTTGGCAAAAGGTGGTAAAGGTTTGAGATGTATAGGCCAGGCCATTATCAGTTTTTAGCACCTGGGGTCTCCCCCAGGCGGCCCATGCATCCAGACAATGAGCAATCACCTGACATTAGGGATACAATTGGGCTAGAAGGTTTAATTGGTCCTGCGGTTTCCAATATCTTCAATGCATTCACCACATATAAGGAATCTGACAACAACTGGTAATGGCTCAGCAGCTGTAATTTTTGGAAATCCTCATTTACCGATTCAATTCCCGTACTTGCTTTATACCAGACTCTTTGTTATCGCCACACTCTTCAGACTCACTGCTGCTTTCTGCACTAGTACTACTTACTGAGGAGGGGCTGCGCAACTCGGAAAGATCGGGGTACAGTTTTTTCCTAGTTCTTTTCTGACTCTCCTTCAAAGTTTTCCCTTTTTCTCCGGCAGCTCTCTCGGAGCGCTCTTCCTGAAGCTCCTCCAAGGCAGCTTGACCGCTCAGAATAGCTTCACTACACTGCTCATCCTCGAGGCATGCTCGCACTAACTTCCATATTGGTCTCACTCCCCCTTCAAGATTACCCTGTTCAAATGCAAAATCCAAATCCCTGCCTAGTTTGTCCCATGAAGGGATAGTAAGGCTTCCCGAAACCCCATACCAGGGTGCAATGGTATCGCAGTTACGTAAAAACCTATGCAACGTACTAGGCTTAAGTTTCAAACCGTTTTCTCAAAGCAGCGCATTCAGCGCCAGAAAAATTGGATGGGACTGTGAATTACCCACCGTCTAAAATTTTACTCTTTCCCTGGCCACGGGTCAGAGCTCCTTCTGCTTTTGTCGCAGAACTTCCTCTGCTTTAATCGCAGAGCTATCCTCCCGCTATTGTCGCAGGACTGCCCGCTCTTATCGCGGATCCCCACCTTATTTTCCTGGGGGACTTACCAGCGCTGCCCTGACTGCAGGAAGTTCTGAGTTCGCGTTTGAGATGGTTCCCCGTACGGGCCACCAGTTGTCGCGTCCCTCGACCAGCAAGGAAGACACGACCCGAACTCTTCTTCCAGCAGTTTATTCAGGAACCTTGAACAAGCTTCTTCTTCCGCCTCCTTCCCTCTCCCATCCCTCTTATAGCTATCAGCACACCAATCAAAAGCAGCCAAGTGGCAAGGATTGATAGGTACAGCAATGCGGAAGCCGGAAGGGAGCTCAAACATCTCCTTATTAGGAGATGTTTGTTTCTCACCAGTCCTTCCGGGGGAAAGGAGCCGGCGCCATCTTTAGGGCGCCGTGCAATGGCTCCCCACAGAGGGGTGCAGGCCTGGGTCCCCCACGTGTTGTTATTGACACTGTGTTGTGGGTGAGGGGCTCATTGCTACCAGCAGAGCTGAAAGTCTTGCTTCCTCCTGGATCTCTGATGGGTAATGGGGGCTATAGTTTTTTTCTAGGGTATTTGGCTAGAGTAGCAGGGTTATTGTCTAAAAGGTGTCTGGAGTTTTGGCTAGAGAGAACAAGCCTTGGTTGGGTGTTTTTGTCTGTGCCCACTGGCATTTCCAGGGCCGCCTTCTGTAACTTCATGTCTGGCAAAATGAAAATCTGTGGAATTTACCATTGTGGTGTTCCCCATGTCCTGAAGCCTACAGCCAGTCTGTCTGCTCTGCGCTTTGTGGAGTCTTCTTAGGTTTGTTGAAAATGCATATTGTCGGCCGGCGCCGCGGCTCACTAGGTTAATTCTCCGCCTTGCAGCGCCGGCACACTGGGTTCTAGTCCCGGTCGGGGCGCCGGATTCTGTCCCGGTTGCTCCTCTTCCAGGCCAGCTCTCTGCTGTGGCCAGGGAGTGCAGTGGAGGATGGCCCAAGTGCTTGGGCCCTGCACCCGCATGGGAGACCAGGATAAGTACCTGGCTCCTGCCATCGGATCAGCACGGTGCGCCAGCCGCAGTGCGCCAGCCGCGGCGGCCATTGGAGGGTGAACCAACGGCAAAGGAAGACCTTTCTCTCTGTCTATCTCTCTCACTGTCCACTCTGCCTGTCAAAAAAAAAAAAATGCATATTGTCCAGAGTTTTTGGGTTTATTGAGCAGGAGGAACAAAAGCAAAGTCTATCTTCCTTGAAACAGAAGTCCCTAATTAGGTACCTAAAGGATTAGTGGGTGTTGTCTATGTAAGAAAAGAAGGATGTTGGGAATAATCTTCCAGACCGAAGGTCCTGGGGTTGATGAGGCCAGCACAACTTTTGGAAAAGAGGGGGTGATGGGATGGATAATCTGAGAGGTAGAGAAGCCTTATTGAATCTATTGAGGAATTAGACTGTTTTTTTCTTTTCCCCAAAGTATGTTATGAAGTTGCTGAAAAGTTTAGACAGGAGAGAGACACGACTTCGTTTGTTATAGAATGAGAGAGAGAGAGAGAGAGCCCTGTAGATCATTGTCCCTCCCTTCCCTGCCTGGTATCTCATGTCAGGTGTTTTGACGTTGCCAAGGGGAGCTAATACAAGGTGGAGGACTCTGAACAGTAGGCAGTGCTTACAGTGTTGATTTCCATTTAGACATTCCCTATCACTCACACTGATGAGTTCAACACAGAATTCTTCCTCTTACGTCACTGATGTGAACAACAAGTAAAGAAGTTTTCCCTTCTTTTCTTGTTCTTAGTTTCAGGCTCCACCCTGTTCTGCTAGTGCGTGCCGACAGGGAGCCACCTGGCAAAGGGGAATCGTAGCTTAGAACGTCCCGGCAGCAGCAGTATGAGGCTGAGTAGGGAAGGGTAGACCGTTGGGCAGAGACTAAGAGTTGGCTCTCCTAGGGATGGCTGCCTTTGCAACTTCTTGCTACGGCAAATGAGGCACCTTTGTATTGCAGTCTGCTTACAGATCCGTGTGTGGAATTCACCAAAGTGTACATTCAGAAGCGGGACCCCCACACATGGATCCATAGGCTTACTTAATCTCTAAGCATGCCAGATTGCTCTCCAGGTGGCTGTACAAACTTCTGTTCCTTTCTGCAGTACTCTGGCTTTCAGCTTCCTCACACCTCCTGAGCACTTGATACTTTGACTTTCTGAAGTATGTGAGATGCTTCTCATTTTAATTGCAATTAAATTGTAAGGTGGAGAATTTCTTCATATATTTGTCATTCCAGTTTATCTTTCTGTGAATTACATGTTTTATATCCTGTTGGATTTCATGTGTTTTTCCCTGCAGATTTGTGGACGTTCTCAATAGCAAGCTCTTGTAGGTTTTAATATTATAAGTCTTTTCTGTTGAATAGCCACCTCTCTGTTAATTTTGTCTGTGGTTCCTTGTTAAGCAGAAATCTTTCATTTTGATATTCATATAGTCAAACCAATCAATTTTTCTGTTTTTTTTTTTTCCATGAACTTTGGAATTTTACCTTCTCTCTATAAAGCTTCAAGCAGTTGAAGGTTATTTTTACAAATTGTGCGAAAATCTAGTTGTATTTTTTGCTTTATATTGAGTGGTATTTCTAGCAGCATTTGCTGTGTAGTTCCTCCTTTTCCTCTGATTTGTGCCGGTTCTACCCTGTATGTCATTCCTATATGTGTGGGTCTGCGTTTGCCTTCTTATTCTGTGTCATTGGGCAGTTTGTTACTTAGTGTCATATTACCTTTATTATTATGGCTTCCTAATGGTTATTAGTATCTTCCACACCTTGTCCCATAGAAGGGTCTCCAGGACCTCACACAGGGAGCCTTCATCTCCATGAAATAGAGTATAGTTATGAAGCAGATTTTATTGAACCATTTCTATGTAATTGCATATTTTGTAGTTTTTAAAATTTTTTTTACTAAATTAATAGTTCTATAATTAATATTTTCATGAATTGAACAGCTCTTCCCTCTACCCTGCCTTCTGGAGTGATTGAAATAGGTATGCAGTGTCTAGGAATATGAACAGTTGTATGGTTCTTGATACACATCAAGGATTATACCAGTTTATACTGTTACTGATGGGCAGATGAGGGTGGTTTAATCTTTACAAACTTCCCCATTTCAGATCTCTGACTTCTGTTTTCTTGTCCTGGATTTTTTTTCAGATTCTTGTCTTTTACTTTTTGCGATGTCTGCTAGCTTTTGTGAGCTGTATTTGTGAACTCTACTTTTACAAGTGAGTATGAAAGCTTTGCTTGGAAAAGTGCTGTGAGAAAGCCCAACCTAGCATAGATCGACTCACTGGTAGTGCAGGCAGTGATGAGCAGTAGAAAACACTTTCCGTCTGGCTCCTAGTATTCTGTCTGTAGGGCAGCCTTGTTTGAAGTAAACACTTGAAGAATATTTTCCTCAGGTTCAAATCTTTGTATCATTTGTTATAATTCTGTTAATATATATCTAACAAGATATAAGTAGGCCTTAGTATAACTGATTTTTGGTCCTAAAATATCAGGTTATCATTTCCCTCTCCTCTGGAGCGTCACTGGTACACTAGAGTACTCAGCAAGGAATGTTAGGGAGTTAGACTGACAGACTTCTCAAGAGCCAGAGATGATAAAAATGTCTTTAGAGCGATGAGATAAGCTGACTGTTGTCCCCAAATTTTATACCCTATTAAGCCATTTTTTTATAAAGATTTATTTATTTATCTGAAAGGCAGAGTTAGAGAAAAGACAGATCTTCCATCTGCTGATTCATTCCCAAATGGCCTCAACAGCCAGGGCTGGGCCAGGCTGAAGTCAGGAGCCAGGAGTTTCTTCTGGGTCTTCCTATTGGTGGCAGGGGCCTAAGCTCTTGGGTCATCTTCCACTGCTTTCCTAGGCCATTAGCAGGGAGCTGGATCAGAAGTGGTGCAGCTGGGACTTGAACCAGTGCCCATATGGGGTGCCAGTGCCACAGGCAGAGGCTTAACCTACTACACCATAGCACTAGCCCTTGTTAAACCATCTTTTAAGACCAAGTGTTAAAGATGTTTTAGTAATGGCCGGTGCCGCAGCTCAATAGGCTAATCCTCCGCCTTGCGGCGCCGGCACACCGGGTTCTAGTCCCGGTCGGGGCGCTGGATTCTGTCCCGGTTGCCCCTTCTTCCAGGCCAGCTCTCTGCTGTGGCCCGGGAAGGCAGTGGAGGATGGCCCAAGTGCTTGGGCCTTCACCCACGTGAGAGACCAGGAGAAGCACCTGGCTCCTGCCTTTGGATCAGTGCGGTGTGCCAGCCACGGCAGCCACTGGAGGGTGAACCAACAGCAAAGGAAGACCTTTCTCTCTGTCTCTCTCTCTCACTGTCCACTCTGCCTGTCAAAAAAAAAAAAAAGTTTTAGTAAAAAGATAAAAACCCAATGAAGAAAACAGAGAATTTACCAAAACAGATTCTCACTAAAGGCGCTTCTAAAAGATATACTTAGAAAGAAGCAAAATTATTTCAGAAAGACTGAGATGAATAAGGAATCTTAGCAAGGAAATGGTCAATACATAAGTATATCTGAGCAAATGTTGACTTAATGAAACATAAAATATCTAAAAATATTTAATTTGTGGAGTTTTAGAAAACCTATAAGAGTAGAAGGAGGTATTTATGAGAAACAGACTTAGATAACCACTTGTTAACATTTTTGTGTATCCCCTAGTCTTTTTTTTTCTGACAACTGGCACTTATTGAACAACTCTGTGCCACTCCCCTAAACACTTTTCCATACATTGTCCTTATTGAAACCTTACAAAGTAGGCAGTTCCATTTATTATCTTCATTTTTCAGATGAGGAATCTAGCAGAGATTATGTTGACTGAGTCAGGGTTCCACTGCCAGTGAATGGCAGAGCCAGAATTTGAACCTGTGCCCACCTGAACCTGAGGCCTGTTATTTTTCACTATATCATGCTGTTTACCCATTGATGGTAGACATCATCTCAGTGGGTGTACATTTCCTTTCAGGTGAGGGAACTTCTCTCCTATGTCAGCAAGAAGAATGTTTGGGTTTCTTACACACACAAAATTGCTAACCTGTCAGGACAATTCTGCACTTGACTTTAGAACTTCAGTGTTGGCTGTGATGCAGCCTTGCCTGTTTTTCTCTCCTGATTTGAAATGTCTGTTCCTCATATTTGCTGGGCTAATAGTCTTTGCCTTTCTCCTAGGGCTGTATGCAAGAAGTTTGGGCTGCATGTGAGTCGAATGATGCTTGCCTTCTTGGTTCTCAGCACTGGCATGTTTTGTTCATCATCAGGTAAATAAAAGGACAGGTGAGGGGATGTCAGGTTCATTGATAGTTCACAGTTGCATTGAAAAGAAACACTTGTTAGTTGTAGTTTATATTTGCATAGCATGTCGTTTATTTTCAGTGTGCTATTATGTTTTTATTTTAAAGATTTATTTATTTATTGACAGGCAGAGTGGACAGTGAGAGAGAGAGAGACAGAGAGAAAGGTCTTCCTTTGCCGTTGGTTCACCCTCCAATGGCCGCCGCGGCTGGCACGCTGCTGCCGGTGCACCAGGCTGATCCAAAGGCAGGAGCAGGGCCAGGTGCTTCTCCTGGTCTCCCATGTGGGTGCAGGGCCCAAGGACTTGGGCCATCCACCACTGTACTCCCAGGCCACAGCAAAGAGCTGGCCTAGAAGAGGGGCACCCGGGACAGAATCAGGCACCCCAACCGGGACTAGAACCCGATGTTCCAGCGCCACAGGTGGAGGATTAGCCTAGTGAGCTGCGGCGCCGGCCTATTTGTTTATTTTTAAAAGGTAGAGGCCGGCGTCCCAGCTCACTAGGCTA